CGCAGTGAAGAGAAGGTTGAACAAGAGCATCAACCTGCAAACCCAGGAGGTCGATCGTCAGCTTCAAAACCGGAACCCCGACCTTCAAGGAAGCCGGACTCGTCCCCCCCGGCCAGGCTAAGGCCCAGATCTCCTTCACATCCTCCACCTGCAGGTCGTGGACGTGGACAGGGGTGGAACGCACCCCCACGTGGGTATTACAGGCAGGAAGAGTGGAAGCCTCAGGAGTGGAAGAACAAAGGAGTCAAGAAGACGGAGACTCAGCGCTACTTCAAGACCTTCCTGGCGCACAAGAGAGGACGGTGAGGTGGTTGAATGGCCCCTAAGCGGAGGCCAGCAGCGGCTGTGGAAAGAAGGCGAGATCGAGGTGTTCGAGCCAGACCAGCTGCAGTTGAACCTCCTGAGGATTTGGATTTCTCAAGGGGAGGTTTGATAGAGGGACATCGGTTGATGTGGGCGAGCTTCCGGTTGGCACTAAGGTCTTTGCGCAAGCCTTTTATTGGGACAGAGAGGTAGAGCTTGCAGGCGAGATTGTGGGCGTCTCCTTGGTGGCAGGTCAGCTTGAACTGAGGTTGCAAGCTGGAGGAACTTCCGACGAGGGTTTGTGTGGCTGTCGGGCCAGGAGGATCGATGTCTCAGGTGCCACCTTTGTGGTTTGGGGTGTTCGAACAGTCCAGTCGCCGACGACTACATCCACGTGAAGCGAGTCAGGAGGCTGGAGGTAGACCGCCCGGCTTGGAGCGAGAACCTGAAGGAAGCGGTCGAAAGCGAGGCGTTGAGGAGGCTGGCAGAGGAGTCGGGAAGGAGAGAAAAGGAGGCTCGCGGGAAAGGAGTCGGGGGAGGACACCCCAGCGTCATCGCGGAAGAAAAGAAGGACGAAGAGGTCAGCAGTTCGAGTACGAGTTCATCCAAGAAGAAAAAGAAAAGCAAGAAAAAGAAAAGGAAAAAGAAGTCCAAGCGTTTCAGAGTACAAGGAAAGAAAGACCTCAAGAAGATCTTCGAGTTCACAGGTTTAGACCCCAGCCTCAGAGTACGCCGACGAGTCATGAGGTTGGCGCGAAGAGCCATGAGGAACAGGAGCAGGGAAGACTCGGAAGGCTCCTCGTGCAGCAGCACGGAGGGGAGCAGCACAGAGGAGGCGGGACAGCATTTGTTCGAGGAGACCCACAAGATCAGAAAGGCCGCAACCAGAGGACCCGGGGCGTTGACAGCCTTCACGATCTCGAGCATGTCGAAGTCCCTGCTCACCCAACAAGGGTTGCCAATAGAGGAGACAGATGGAGCAGTGCCGTGCATAGCCCTTCAATACCACAAGCAGGTCCTGTCCCAGCGTCTGTCACCGCCTTTAGCGAGGGAGTCGCTGAACATTTGTGCGGCCACCGACGCACTCCTCGGAGGTCAAGTAGCACTGGGGTTGGATATCCTGGTACAGCGCCTCAAGAGCATAGAAGCGCTGGGAGGAGGTCAAAGTTGGGCCGCAGCACAGAAACTCGAGCTTGCTCCTCAGGAAGGTTCTCAACTGGCCGCTTTGGAGGAAAGCGAGACAGCCAACAAGGAGTTGCGCGAGGAGCTGAAGAACAGACAGGCTTCGCAGAAGACGTGGCAGAAGGGAGAGAAGGGAGGCTCGAAAGGAAAACACGAGGAGGCCAAGGGCAAGAGCAAGAGAGAAAAAGGAGGGAAGGAGAAAGGAAGGGGAAAGGGAGAAGGAGAAGTAGTTTCTACTCCCCTGATGTTGAGTGAACAAGAGATTGAGGAGGAGCTGGCGAGAATGGCTCAGGTGGCTTTTGCAAAAGAGAGGCTGGAACAAAAAGAGGCACACCATGACTTCACCATGCTGCAGAAACCGGATGGGAGTGAACAGAGCTATAATCACTCCTCGGAAGCCATTTTGGCGCGCACAGCGCCTGAAGGAGATGCCGCTCCGGAGGGCGAAACCACAACGTGTCCGCTCTCAGAGCGAAAAAAGAAGCTGGGTGCGGGAGGGTTCCGTTTCGCGGACGTCGTTGGGGACTTGCTCAGGAACCTGTCCACTCCTCTTCGCAAGACCGTGACCTTGGGGGAGGTTTTTCCCCTCCCCTATGGCAGTTTCCTGGAAAGAACCCCTTTTGACGACTTGAATGTTGAGGTGAGAGAAGTGTTGAAAGGGATGATTGTGGGGCTCAACAGCATTTATGATTGCTCACCTTCCGCTACCCAGCGTGTTTCACCATTGCATGTCCGTATCCTTAGAGGTTTGAGTCAAGAGGCCCAGAGGTTTGTGGAGAAATCCGGAAAATTTGACTGTTTATCCTGGAAAGACTTTCTGCGTGTTCGAAGCGTGGACTACAAAGGGGATGAAGTCAAGACAGCGCAACGCACATCATGGAATCATGTCAAACCAGCTTTGCCACAGGAAGTAGGCGCCGTGGCCAGAGGCCGCCCAGGTCTATACCAAACCACCCAAAGTCATGGTGCCTGATGACCAATGGGAGACCACGTGTAAGGGCCTCCTGTCTCGAGGCATCTGCGGGCTCATTGCGGAGAGAGAGATCCATCACGTTCAAGGCCGTCCCTTGCTGAACGGGCTTTTTGGGTTTTGAAGGAGGAGACGGACCGGGGACAGGAAGTACACCGACTCATCATGAATCTTATACCGTTGAACAAACTGTGCAAGGGGGTTGAGGGAGACGTTTCAACTCTACCGGCATGGCCGAGTATGAGCTCCTATTTCATCCAGCCCACTGAGGACCTCCTTATTAGCAGTGAAGATGTGCGGTGTTTCTTTTATTTATTCCGGGTTCCTCGTGAGTGGCTCCCTTTTTTGGCCTTTGCCAAACTAGTATACCTCCTCACCTTTGCACCTGTGATCGTGAACGCTACTACCTTACTTCTTTAGTACTGCCGATGGGATTTTGCAATAGCGTATCACTGGCACAACACATACACAAGAACGTGGTGGGTAGTGCTTTAGCAGAGGCCAGGTTGGGAGATCACGGAGGAGGCTGGGAGGCAGAGTTGAGGCGGGACAGGCCGATGACAGGCCAAAATCCTGCCCATCGTATCTATCTGGACAACTTTGACCAATTGGAGCGAGTAGACTCTCAGCTAGCTGAGTCCATCAAAGGTACCACATCGAGTTTAGTGGGAGGTTTGAGGAAAGCCTATGAGGACCTTTCTATTCCACGTCGCCCAAAGAAGGCTGTTGAGCGACAACGTTCAAGGTGCGCTATAGTCGATGGGCAAGAAGAAACGGCCCGGCCCTGGCCGGAGAAGGTGCTGAGGTATGTCCAGCTTGCACTTTTGTTACTTGAGGGGGGCTCCTGCAGCCAGAAACAAATGCAGATCGTTGCTGGAGGTTTGGTTTACATGGCCATGTTTCGGCGGCCACTCCTGGGCAGTTTGAATGCCCTATGGGAGTTTATCCAAAGCTTCGCGGAGAGTGAACGACATTTTCAAGTTATCCCTCAACCGGTCCGAAGGGAGATAGCTAGGTTCTGTCTCCTGGTCCCTCTGGCTCGGATGGACTTTCGCCTCCCTTTCTCCAACCTGGCGACGGCGAGCGACGCTTCAACAAGTGGGGGCGGAATCACAGCATCATCACGGCTGAGCCCCTTAGGGTGCATAGCAGCCAACTGTGACGTTCGAGGAGACGTGGTGGAGCCCAACGACTTGACACAGGTGCTGACTATAGGACTGTTTGATGGATTGGGCGCCCTCAGGGTAGCGGCTGATGTTATTGGGCTTCCAGTCGTGGGACACATTAGCATTGAGAAGCATGCACCCGCTCGGAGGATGGTAGAAAGCCGATTTCCGCAGACAGTCTTCGTTGAGCAGGTGGAGATGGTTGATGAGGCCATGGTGCAAGAGTGGGCGTGCCGTTACACTCAGGTAGGGTTGGTCATCCTGGGAGCCGGACCTCCCTGTCAGGCAGTTTCGGGGTTGAACGCAGATCGACGAGGGGCCCTCCGAGATCTTCGAAGCTGCCTGTTCCAATATGTTGACCTCATTCACCAGATGCTCAAGAAGGCCTTTCCTTGGGCGCAAGTCCATAGGCTGATGGAGTCGGTGGCGTCGATGGATGAGAGCGACCGAGCCTTGATGAGTGAATCGGTGGGATGCACCCCCTACATGGTGGACCCTGTGCAGATTTGCGGAGGCCGTCGTCCTCGATTGTTCTGGCCGTCATGGGAGTTGGTGGAAGGCCCTGGGGTGACCATCTCCTCGGCTCGCGGGCATGGGTGGTCGGCCTGTCGAACAGTGGAGCTTGTGCACCCAGTCGAGAGCACTGTCTTTCTGGAACCCGGATGGGAGAAGGTCTCCTCGGAACCCTTTCCTACTATAACGGGTGTTGCGCTTATCCAATTATAACCAATATTATAAGTAGAACATAACCACTAATTAACTGCATTTATTGACTGAACTTATCGTGCTTATAAGTTCCCCACGTTGCCCTGTTTTGTAATTCTAGAAAATCACCACATTTTTTGTTCCGGGGGGTGGTCGTTTTTGATTTTTTGGTGGGCCGCATGAGGCTCGCCCATGCCAAAAATCTGTCGGTAAATCGGGGTTCCATTTTTGTCTGAGAAGTTGTACCCAAAAAGAGGGAGCCAGTTTGACGAGGCCACGCGCGCGCGCGCTGTTGAGGAGATATACTTTTTCACCGCGAGATTCGCACATCAGACCTTCAGTCAAAACAGGTGTGGCGAGGCTACACCACACGGTAACCGGGCGAGCCTCGGATGTCCATCTGGCCTTTGTGGATTCACAAAGGGATTTCTGCAAGCAGAGCTTGAAAGGTTTGAAGCATTTTGCTTCCAAAGGTTACGCGACCATAGCTTCGATTCCAATTTTTTTACATAGAAGCCATGGAAGCCACCCTTCATTCCAAAGGATCAACATCCTTGATTCCAGGGATCACTGCAGCGGCAGCTCTAGGGTTTCTGTCTGCACTTCCTCATGCCCAAACTCGATTTCCATTTGGTGTTCCTGAGTGGCTGGCACGTGAAATTGGAAAGAAATTCCTATACGGAAAATGCTATGAGAAAAGTTTCCAAAGCTTCAGGTCGAGATTCTGCAAACCTCAAGATAGCATACCAACCTTCGGCCATGAGCTTGTTGTAGGTCGCGTCTTTCCAAAGGTCCCGTTGAGCGGAAGCTGTCCCCAAGGCCATGTGCATGGCTTTAGCAAACTGAAAGAGGTTTTCCCACACAGCTTGCCGTGCAGGGTCTGGATCTTCATGCAACAGGCAATATACACACTCCATCAAGCGTCCAACTTTTGCTGGATTGGTGCAGTGCTCGAACTGTGGTAGGAGGCACCGTAAACAAAGCTTCTGCGTCCAATTCGTGAAAGGCATGCGGCCTTTGAGTGAGTGCCACCGCTCATGGATAACCTCGAGTTCATCATTGGTCTTCCCATTTTTCCTGCCAGTGTTGGTGTGATGAACTGGAAAAAATGAGATGCCAAAAACACTTCTTCTGTTTTGAAAAGCACATTTTTATAGCCGCCGTGGCTCAGCTCGTCGATGAACTCATAGAGCCACACGCGATGAGGAAGCAAGTCGGTGAAGATGTATTGCACCTTGCCAAACAAAGCCATCCAACCAAAAGAAGAGAGGCGAGCCGTCAAAGAAGGTTGAGGCAAAAAAAAGCTGCAGATGAGCATTTTGTCAACAAGAATGTGGCCGCACCATGGCCATGTGAACTTCTGCGCGTTCACCACACACCACCACCTTTTTTTTCCACGCGCGTGTCCCCAGGCGTGTTTCCAAATTGCAGATTCTTGGCGCAGGGCGAGCCTCTGCCTTCTAAGCGGAGACATGCTCCAGTAGGTTTGCCCAGGCCACTGTCGGCTCAGATGCTTTCCATGAGAATGCCTTGTCTTTCTTCTCGCCATCTCGTTTTGCCCTGAAATTGAACGATTTCGGGCACACATAGATGGTGAACCCACTATGGTGAATGGGTTTCTGAGCTTTGGTGCCTGGGAAAGGCAAAGTGCACTCACCGCTCGTTGGCTTGGGGCTGGCTTTGGGGCCTCAAGACTTCAAGGGGTAACCTCTTGAATGCAAACCAGGCGAGCCTTGGTTGGGTGAAGTGTGAGCCACAGAATTGAGGATGTGCAAAATTGAGGATGTGCGAACTGTCGAAGTCAAATGGTTCAAGACTATATAGTGAAGCCACCCTGACCATGGAAAAACTGGTGGAAAAGGTTCTGGGATCAAAGTTCAAAATTGTAATGGTGGGCCCTTTTTTTGATGATGTTTAACTACCAAGTAGTTTATGAACCCAAATACCCTTTATGGCTCAATTGGGTGTTGTGAAGCACTTGCTTCAGTGCTCCTGTGGGCATGCAAGGCAGCCTTTATAGTACCACCAAAGGTGAAATGAAACCAAAACAAAGGCCCTCTTCGGCAGAATGTTCATGGCTGAGGCTCGCCCAGCAACCATGAAGTGTGGAGGCTCGCCCTAAAAGACTTGAGACCTATATCACATCTCAAGAATATAAACAAAGGCCCTCTTCGGCAGAATGTTCATGGCTGAGGCTCGCCCAGCAACCATGAAGTGTGGAGGCTCGCCCTAAAAGACTTGAGACCTATATCACATCTCAAGAATATATACTACAACCAACACCCAAATTACAAAAAAAACAACTGATTGATGATAATGGAGGTATTCAATGAGGCACTTGGTCCATCAAGAAACATAGCGTGTTGTGCATGACTAGTTGGAAGTCTAGTGGGGAGAAACTTCATCTATAGATCGTGGAGATAAAACAGTGACCAACCGTCTTATAACACTGATCGTCCCTGATAGTTTCCTGATACCCCCTGATACACTGATTGTCCCTGATAGTTGTCCGATACCCCTGATACGCCCCTGATACGCCCCTGATACGCCCATGTTTGGCAACCCGAGTGTCATGTCAATTAAGAATCTATTTCAATATGGATATTCTTTGGGCTGACCATGTATTTTTTTCAACTTCCATCAACCTGGATGGAGGGGGTGGTCTATTCATCAGGCGTCTAAAAAGAATCAATATCAATAACCGTTAAAGCAACAAAACAGAATCAACCCATTCAATCAAGTCGATCGACTGCGCACTCCCACCCCCCAATCACCGTTTCCCCGCTGCAGAACTGAACTCCAAGCGCGGTCAAAACTTCGCTGATGCTGTGCGATCCACAGCAGTGCACACATGTGATGGATGGGCGAGCCTCATCGCATCACTTGAACAGCCTGCTCAAGCTGGTTCTTGACCCGTGTGAATCCCTCACTCAGCTCGTTGAGTGCACCTTCCAGGTCCTCGATCCCAGCTTTGGCTGCGAAGTGGACAATTGGTTGACCAATGCCATGGGGGACAAGTATGGCCACTCCCAAGGCTGGCCACCCAAATCCAAAGTCATGGATCGTTTGATGGGAGCACATGGGCCATGATAGTCAAGGCCTTTGCCAAATCTTCACGGACTGCTTTCCGTTGACCACGCTGATCCAAGTCAGCATCACCCAACAAAGCTACATGGTCTGAGAAGGACAGGTTTTTTGGTAGCTTTTTCAATTTCACCTCACCCTTTCGCAAAGGGTATTTGTTTGGGAGGCGAGCCTTCCCCATCTAAATCCACCTACTGTAATCTTTCAGAGCCTGAACAGCCAGCAGCACAACGCTCAAGCTTTACTGGTTGAGCTTGAAGAATGACACTGAACACTGGCGGTTCTGAAAATGAAAACTGAAAATGCCATATTCATATGAGTCATGAGCTTTTGCACTGCCTGACTTCACTCCGACCCAGATCTATGCCCAGCTGCGTCACACATTTTCACTGCTAAAATCAGCTCAGCTCAAGTGTCTGGTGGGAAGAGCCTCACCGCTGAGGATTCACTCCTGAGGTGGTAGGATATGGACTTTTTCCGGGACTCTGCAAAACTCCCTGCAGCTGAGTGCCTGAAGCCACTGGTGGGCGAGCCTCACCATGAAACACGCAGACATCCTACTGCACAGGCGCAGAAGGCGAAAGAAATGGCGTGGCGTCTTCTGCTTTCTCTCCTTCTTTAGGTGACTTTGTTGGGCTCTCCGCTGCAGGCACTGGTATGTCATCGGCGTCACCCTCTGGCTTGTCCTCGGCAGTGTTGTCAGCGCCCTGCTCATCTTTAGCCTCAGACGGTGGCAAAAATTAAAAGCAACCATGCTGGATGAGCCAAGATAATTACAAGTCAACACGTTTGCTGCTGCCATGACCAAAGTGACAAAAAATGATTGAAAATTCAAAAAGTAAATCAGCACCAAGAAACATCAGAATCAGAATCTTCTGACGATGCGCTTGGCTCATCCTTGCAGGGAACCTTTGCCACTGGCGCCTCCACTGCATCTTCTCCGTCGCCAGTGTCAGCTGGCGAAGTTGGGCTGGGATCGCGCTTACGTGGCTTTACCTTGGGCTGCAATCCAGGCAATCCAGGGGGTGGACCTCCCTGTTCACTTGAAGCGCTCTTGCCGTTTTGGCCAGAATCAGAGCCGATCGGGCTTGCTTCCCTTTCCCGGCGTACACTTTGCAGGGGCACGCGATCCTGGTTGGACGCATGGCTTCTGCCACGGCCAACTTTGGGCGTGGAATGGTGGTGTTTTCTCTTTCGGCGCCGCCGCGCCATATGTTGCCCCATGTCCGAGATAGCCTTTTTGGCCTCATCCTTGGCAGCTTCGGCCTCATCCTTGGCCTTTATGGATTCATGGTAGGCAGCTGCAGCATTTTGCTCGGCTTTCTGGAGTTGAACCTGCAACCACTGCAGCACGCCTTGTTGATGTGTGAGCTGCTGTTGCATCGCGGCTGCCTGCCTTTCAAGCTGCTGGAACTCTTGTTGGGTAGGTCCAGGAGCTGCCCGCCCACCCTCCGTTCCATGGGTTGCGATCATCTGCAGCGCCATGTTCTTGGCGTCCTCCAGCTGTCTGGGGGGTCCGCTCAGAGACAGGCACCTCTCCCCCCATTGCGCTCGCCAGCGAACGCTTGCGCTCACCTGGAACTGCTGCCAAATCGTATCTCTGTTTGCCGCTGCGAGCGTTCCGGAGCCATTGGGTAACCTCAATGGCCCCATATGGGCTTCTCCCGCACGCGCTTCTCCCCCATGCGCGCGCGCCGCCATTGCCGCGGGAAGACCTCGCGAGCGAGCACGTGAAAGATCTCGCGAGCGAGCGCATGGGCGAGCCACATGCGTCCGGGCGAGCCACGCGCGCAGGGATGAGCAAAAAGGCGAGCCGGTGAGCACGGTTGCATTTGAACCTGGTTCATCGTGCAGAACTTACAGGGAACTATATGTATATGGAAAGTACTTGTCCACACTTGGTTGAGGTTACACAAGTATGGTTATAACATCATCATCTAGACACATGTAACTTGTAAACCGTTGAAAACTTATGACTTACCTTCTTGTTAGAAAGGTGTTTTATAAATTCAGATGATGAACTTAAAACTTCCCTTAGCTTATTTATAAGTGTAGGTCCTAAGTCTATACGCGCAACACCCGTTATAGTACCTTTACCACGGCGAGACCAAGCTACACTCCAGGCAGGCGGCCCGCAGGAATACAGCAATGCAGTGCTGAGGTACTGCAAGACTGGGCGAGCGATTTGCATCGTTATCCTCCATACCAATACCTGCGCAAGTTTAGAGTCCAGGACAAGCACGGCAATACTCGGTTGTTGACCTGTGAGGAGAAGGAGGCGCTCATGGGTTTCCCCAAATGCTACACCGTTCAATGTTGTCCAAAGCAGGAGCAGCACACACAGGCGTGGCAAGACGAGCGTATGACGCTGATTGGCAACAGTTGGAACGTCTTCGCGATCGCTTGGCTTTTGGCCCAACTCTCCTGGATCTTGGGCGTCGGCCCCTGTATGTCCTTACGGGAGATTGTTGAACATTGCCTACTTAATTGACGGAATTTACTTGTCCACTTACAAGCAGCTCTAAGGTGGCTGCAACATGGTTTTAACCAGGTTAAGTAGAAAATAAATAGATATAAATTGTATAAGTACATGAAACACTTATTTTACTTAATTGCTATTTACAGCTACTTGAAGTAATTTCATCTACTTGGTAAGAAAAATTATGTAAACATAAGTAGGCATGGTTCGTTTATGTATAAGTAGCATACGTATACTTAATTCTACTTAGGTCTACTTATTTCTACTTAATCTACTTATTTTATTTTGTTGTTTTTTGATTGTTGTTGTTGACTTCTATGTTTCAACATGTGATTTTGTACTTTTTGCTTTTTCAGAAGGTTTGCAAAAGGTCCAAGTTTTCGCAGCGCGGCATAGGAGTTCATTGATATTTGGGCAAGTTTATCTGACCACATGGTTGGCTAACAGGTTAGGAATGACATGCCACAGCTTGTATTTCTCATTGGAAACATGACTTGCAGCATGAGCGGTGTGTCCGCTTGTTGCCAGGAAGAACCTTAGTGCGGGGTGCGTTGTGAGACAAGATGTTGTTTTGATTCCAAACAAAGAGA